CGGGGTTTCGGTTTTGTCTCACCCTTTGTGTAACGAGACCGTTCCCCGGCAGCTCGGGACGCGCCCGTACTTGGCGCCTGTCGCGTTTCCCTGACGGGGTGTTAAGCGTGTGGGAGTAAAGAATTACTGCTCTTTTTTAATCCCTAGGTTTCTGATGAAGCTGAGCCATGAGACTGTGACTATCGAACTGAAGAACGGCACTCAGGTGCACGGAACCATCACAGGTGGGGTGGGGTGGGCGAGTGCCGCCCGGTGTTGTCCGTTGTCTTTCTGCTGGCGCCCTGAGCGAGGGTTTTTGTCTCGTACTCCCCCTCGTGGGGGAATTTCTCTTGTCAGCTGCAGGATCTTGATAACCCCCATCTTGATGGGTTCCTCGGGGGCTGTGTTTGTTGTGGAAGAGCCTGGGTGTTGGGAGGAGCTGCAGGGAGCAGAGCAGGGAGCTGGGACCACCCGCAGTAATTGGGAGTTTCTGTCGATCACAGATTGTCTGTGGCACATAACCAATGAATTCCCTTGTGATGGAATTTACACTGTTGGTCTGTTTTATGATAAGGTCTGCAGGGTGCTGCAGGGGGGCAGCAGATTCACACTGGTCCTGAGCCTGCCCACAGGCACGCTGGGGGTGGTGGAAGGAAGCTTTTCCCCTCTGGGCAGAGCTGCTGTGAGCAGAGTGTTCTCTGGGAGTCTCAGCAGTGTGACCACCTGGGTGAGGTTTGTATAGTCTGTATCAAACCAGGGTGGATGTACAGCCGTGGTTGTATCAGCTCTTTCAGCATCTCTGCCTTTTTATTTGGGAAACTGCAATAAGCAATAAAAACATCCCAGGTGAATTGACAGACAAGGAACTTCTGGTTTTAGTGTCAGTGCAGATAAACAGTGAGCATTAAGTGTTGATACAAAGTGGTTAGATCTTGGAATCACAGCCTGCTTTGGGTGGGAAGGGACTTTTCCATCCAAAAAAAGTGAGCAGGGACATCTGCAACTGGAGCAGGTTAAATTTGGCATGTAGGCAGTTGTAACCAAAAAAACCAGTTCCTTCTTTTGAGTGTGGTTTTGCCCTGGTTACAGAGAATTTCTATGGAAATGCACCTTGCATATATTTGCATAGATTTCATCAAACAGGTTTGATGAGACAGCTTGCTGGGGGAGGGGGGAGCAGAGGGCAGGAGGGGAAGCTGGTGCTGGGAGCCACGTTCCCCTCTGCTGCCAGAGGTGCCTCGTGGGAGTTGGTGGGTGTTGTGGAGCACAGTGTGTGTCATGAAGCAACCCCTTCCACTGGGAGGCTGATGAACGTGGCTGATCTTCCCTTCACCCACCCCAGGCTGCTTCTGGAACCTTTTCTGCCCAGACAGTTTAAAATAACTCTGATTTGGGCAGCGCTGCTATGTGGGGTGATTGGCTGGGTGATTTTGGTGGGCAGTAGCACTGCTGAGCTCTGGTGCAGTCCAGGCCTGGCGTGGTTTGCAGCCAGACCCCTCACCTGTGATCAGACCCCTGGAGCCTGGCTGGAGCACACTCTGCTGACCCCGTGAGGTGGGGAGCAAAGAGGGGTCCTGTCCCCCAACCCTGGGGCACCTGCAGGCTGGGTCGTGGGGCAGAGGCTCTCCCAGTTCCTGCTAGGAACCCATGACAGCTTTGAGCACAGCCTGTGTTGGTGTAATGGCAGCTTTGCCTTCACACTGGCCCAGTCTGCCCCTCCCTGTGCCAGAGTGGGCCTGTGGAGGGGCAGGTTCCACACCAGCACTGGTGGAGGGAGGGGCTGGGGAGCTGGAGAACATCAGACCTATGAGTGAGGGGGGAGAGCACAGAAAAAGACATGGAATAAGCACAGCACAGTGGCCCTTCTGCTCCTGAGCTGCCACTTGCTCCTGTTATTCACCATGGGGAGACCTCTTACAGTTCCTCACCATGGGGAGACCTCTTACAGTTCCTCACCATGGGGAGACCTCTTACAGTTCCTCTCTCTGTGTTTATGAAATGAGACAATAGTTATTTGATTGTGAGTAGAGGTTTGAATACTGAAAGCTTTGCTCAGTTGGGTGCCCTGTCACTGGATTAGCAGGGGTTTGTGAGCTCCAGCCTCCATCTCTCACCTGTATGTTTGAAAAGCTGCTCTCATTTTGGCCTTTGTGACTTCAGATGAAATCCCACACAAGGCTTGTGATATGCAGCCCAGAAACTACCCCAGGGCTTTGGTTCAGTTTGGGGTTTAAGTGCTTTTCAGAGCTGCCATTCAGCATGTGCATCCAGCTGAGACTTCACTCCAGTTTTGGGGGATGGACAGTGTGGGGGGCACAGTGTGGATTCCACACTGCTCTTGCCTGCCTGCTCTGCACAGGGATTGTGACTGCAGTGGCTGTTCCCTACAGGAGGGTGTTTTACAAGCTCCAGAGATTTCACACTGTATGAGATGTGTTCTGTCAGAAAACAAGTGCTGCTTGGCAGTTGGATTTTTCCAAGGCTTGGGGAAATAGGAAATAAAATACTTTTCCTCCTCAGAGGTTTGTTTTCCTTCTTTTTAAAGGAGTAATACAACTAGTATTAGGCTTCTGTAATAAGCAGCAGTTTATTTGTTGTTCAGAGGAGTTGTTTTAACCATTTACAAACTTAGAGAAAAAAGTTTCCTTCAGTTAGGGGCCAAATGAGCGAGTGGCAGAAGCAGACGTTAATGAGGAGGATAAATCATGTGCCTACTTAAACACAGCCAGCAAGGGGCTGTCTTCTGGGCTTGCACCCCTGAGGCTGGACTCGTGCTGTTTCAGGGGTGGACGTCAGCATGAACACCCACCTCAAGGCAGTGAAGATGACCCTGAAGAACAGGGAGCCCGTGCAGCTGGAGACACTGAGCATCCGAGGGAACAACATCCGCTACTTCATCCTGCCAGACAGCCTGCCCCTGGACACCTTGCTGGTGGATGTCGAGCCAAAAGTCAAGTCCAAGAAGAGAGAAGCAGGTTAGTTTTTTTTTCCTGTGTGTTCTGCCTTGTGTGTGTCGTGGTTTCCTGGTTGTGAGGACATCTGAGGGTCTCCATATCTGCCTTGGGCAGCACAGAGCTGGCCCAGCCTGCCTTGCCCACCTTCTTCCTGACCATAGAGCTCTTTTTCCTGTCAAACCACCTGTTTGGCTTTTCATACATCTGTTTTTAAAAACATAAGTGCTTTTAAGCTGGAGTAAATGTGAACCTAGCAGGGAGTTGGTACCAAAGAAACCTGCATTTCCTCTTCTCCAAATGTCTGCTGTGCTTCCCCTCTTTGTGTGGGGAGCTCCCCACAGCCTAGTGAGAACATACAGAACAGTACTGCTCCTGAGCAGTGCAGAGAGATCCACTGAAATCTCACCTGGTAGTGGATAGAAATCTGTCAGACCTGAATTTGAGAGACCTGGGGATCCAAGGGAGTCTGGGCTGTGTTCTGATCAGCCCTCTGGCTTGTGCTCCTGATGGTGTTCTGCTCTCTGATCTTCCTGGAGCTTTTTTCCCAAAGCCCTGTAGAACAAACCCCTTTTCTATAGAAGCCTAACAGTATAGAGGCTAATTCAGTCTGCACTATTAAAGATTAATATCCAGAAAACCACATAAAATCTGCAGGTTGTCTTCAGGCAGCATGTGCTTTGCCCAACAGTTCATCTGTGTGGTTTTAAAATAGCAAGTTGTAAGAGAAGGCCAATTGTGCTCTAAACTAACGTCCTGTTTCTCCTGTAATTAGTGTTTGAGTGTTGGCTCTGCAGCCTTTGCTCTGTGCCTGTGCTGGGAATTGAGGTGCTCACTCTGAAATGTGTGAGGAGCCCTGGGGGGTGTGCCTCACAGCACTGCTGTCAGTGCAGAGGCTGAGAGTGAAGCTCCTGAAGGTGTTCTGCCCCTCTCATGCCCATTAAAAACAATTAACCTGGCCACACAGAGGAGTGTGTGGCTGGGTTGGTTTTCCTGAGCCTCACGATGCGATGTGAGCAGGAGCTGGGCAGTTCTGAGCTTGGGGGGCAGCAGAGGAGCCATGGTGTGACCCCAGCACCTCCTGTGTCATCTGCTTCTGGGCCATCCGAGCTGCTCTGCAGTGCTGCCTGCCCCTCACCACTCAGTACAGTGCTGGGAATACAACAACAAAAAAAAGAGCTGGTGGTCCTTGGGGGTTGTGTCTGGAAAAACCTAACACAGGGGGTGGAACTGCCGCCTGAGACGTGCTGAGCTGGGGCCTCGCCGCAGGGGAGCAGGGTGGTGGTCGTGCTCCGTGCAGAATGCTGTGACCAGAGGGAGAGTATTCCTGGTCTGACTCGATTTACCCTTTTCTTGTTCCCCAAGTTGCTGGCAGAGGCCGTGGCAGAGGCCGTGGCAGGGGCCGAGGCCGTGGCAGAGGAAGAGGGGGCCCCAGGCGGTAACTTCTCCGCGGGAGCCGCGACCACGCGCCGGGACGCTGCGGATGTTTTTTTGTACAGGTCTTGTTTATGGTATCCATTTTTAATAAACAGAAACGTGAGAAGGTTGTCTTCCCTTGGTCAGCTCTGGGGAGGGTCCCTGGGGCACGTCGTAGGCTCAGTGTGCCACTGGAGGCTGCACGGCTGCCTCTTGCTTTGCACCCCAGAGCAAAGAGAGTTGTGCTGTTGTGCTTCAGCCACCTCTGTCTGAGACACATCCCTCCTCTAGGAGGCACTTGCCATCCCCAAGTGGTTTTGTAGTCAAGATACTGTATTAAGAACCTGCATCCCATGAGTGTGTCTCTAATGTTCCTCAGAGCGACCCCTTCAAAGTTCCCAGATACAATTTTCTGTTTTCTACAGCAATTTAAACGTGTTGCTTTCTTATAAAATGTCCAGGGAGGGGAATTAACCAGTTCTGTGGAGCTGCTGGATCGTTACGTCTTGCAATTAAAGCATACCTGGATATGAACTTTGTCAGAGCTAATTACACCACATACTGTTGTTTGGGTGGGGTTTGTAAAGCAGCTTTATCTTGGCTTTCTTCTGGCGCACTTAAAACGCATCCCTGGAAAATAAAATACAGCAAAGTCTGCAACTACATACTGGGGTTGGAAGTTTACTGCTCCTGGAGGAGAGGGAACTCCTGCAGCTCCTGCACGTGTGTGTGTAAGCTGCATGGCTGGACACAGGTACAAAAGCAGCAGTGCTGGCCAGCTTCCTCTCAGAGAGCACCCATGGGTGACCCCACTGGCACTGCCCGACACGAGGCCAGCAAAGCCCCCAGGGCACCCCCAGCCTGCCCGGGGTCCTGGCCTGGACCTGGGGGCAGGAGCACGCCTGTTAAAATGGAGAAGAGAGTTAGCTAACATTGTGTGGTGGGGTGGTGAGCTGGTTAATTTGCACTAACGAGCATCTTGGGAGCTGCTCTTCTCATTTTCCCTCTCGCAGAGGCCTTTTTAAAGCTTCATCTTGTTACAGAAGAGCTTTTTGTTTCCTCCGAACCATTGTGGAACCTCCTAAGAGCACTTTTTGGTCAGTGTAGCACCCACGATTCTCAACTCTATAAATAGCTGCTACAAGTAATGGTTGCTGCTGTCTCCCAGAAGTGCCCGGTGACTGGCGGGGGGTGAGGTCTTCCCAAATCCAGGCGTGGGCGTTCACGCGACGGTGGGGACGCTGTCCCTCTTCAGCCTCCTCCTGAGGAAGGCTCCCAGTGCCCCCAGGGGTATGCACATGGTGGATGCTGCCACGAGCAGCCCGATCACCGCCAGGGCGTAGCCAGGGTAGTCCTTGGTCACCAGCTGCCCCTGCAAGGCACAGAAGAGGCGTTGGAGATGTGGGGCCTGGAGCAGAGCCATGGACCTGCATCTCAGGAGTCTGTCTGAGAAGCTGCAGGCTGTAGCAGCCTGTGGCTGTTCTCGGGGCTCTTACCCAACCCTACGAGCTTAAAGTTGACAAGAAAAGAGCTGCTGACAAAAACAACTTGAGCAGGCTTTGGTAAAGAGCAGATTTTGGCTTCAGTTGTGTTTCTTAATGAGGCGGCTTGGCCCTGACCCCTGTCAGGTCTCTGTGTTCCTCCCCTGGAGCTCGTGGGCTCACGCTGACACCCAGTCAGCAGGGCAGGGTCCCCAGCCAGCCATGACATGGAAACAAGGGTTGTGGCTTGTTTCTGCTGGGAACATTTCCACAGAAAGGTTATGAAACCAGAGAGTTCTCCTCCAGTAGCAGTTCTGCAGGGCTGAGTGTGCAGCTCGGCGCTCGTGTGGCCACGAGGGAGAACGTGTATGGAAATCAGGAAAACTTAACATGCTCCAGCAGCAGCCCAGCCCTGTTAAAATATCACTAGCTTTGTTCAAAATACAGAATAGTTTGGGTTGGAACAGACCTTTAAAGATCACCTAGTCCAATATTTGAATGTATGTTTTCTGTTTAAAGTTTATTTTTGAAGATGATAGTTTGGCCTTCAACGTGAATAAAACTTTACTCTTTGAAGGGGTCAATGAAGATTCTTAGAAGGAAACCAGCCCCTTTGCCAGAACCAGTGTGTCATTATCACTAGGTCATGTTTTAACTTTAGATTGGCCCTGAGGAACAATTTCTTCCCCATGAGAACTGCCCAGGGCAGTGGTGGAGTCCCCACCCCTGGAGGGGTTTCCAAGCCGTGGAGATGTGGTGTGAGGGACACGGGGCAGTGGGGACCTGGCAGGGATGGGGGGGAAAGA